GTGCTGGGATTAAACATGAACATAACTTTTATAAATGAAAACATGCAATTTGGGTGGCTCACAATTTCAGAAGTTTAGTGCATCGTCATCATGGCAGGAAACATGGTGTGCCAGCAGACATGGTGCTGGAGGAGGAGCTGAGAGAGTTGTACATTCTAGATCCACAGGCAGCAGGAAGTGAATTGTCTCATTGGGTGTGGCCTGAGTATGTATGAGCCCTCAAGACCCGCCTCCACAGTGACACACTTCCTCCAGCAAGACCACCCCTAATCCAACATGGTCACAGCTCCTAATAGTCCCACTCCCTGACGGGAGGGAGAGCCTGGCTGAAAACAGGCCTCAGAGAGATGCGGTGAGAGACACTGCGGGTCTGCCTGGCAGCACCCTTGCTGCTGGCAGTTTGCAGAGAATGGAGGCGGAGGCGGTGCCAGTCCTGGGTACTCCAGCACGCTGGCAAAGGCATGTATCCTGTATCTAAGGCCTACGGACAGGCAGGACCATGGGCACCAGGCACTGAGACCATAGCCAAGTCCCGTGGAGGGTCTGGGGAAATTCCTCAGGGACCTGGAAGATGTGGTTACAGTACAGGCTTCTCTAAGCCGCCAGAGAAGAGGTAACTGTTGCAAAGGTCACAATGGCGGAAGCAGTGGTCTCAACACATGGGTCATGACCCCTTTGGAGGTCGCATATCAAACATCCTGCATATCAGATATTTACATTACAGTTCAAAACAGCAGCAAAATTACAGTGATGAAGGAGCAACAAAATAATTTTATGTTTGGGGTCAGCACAACATGAGGAACTGTATTAAAGGGTTGCAGCCTTAGGAAGGTTGGAAGCACTGGGTTTGGATGATAGGTATGAGGGTTAACACAGGGATGTTGGCGGGGCAGGGGGGAGGGGATGAGCATGTGTAGGAGAGAATGATTGTGTGTAAGCACGCATGTGTGAAGAAAGGCATGGGTAGAGGCTGCGTGTGAGATGTGAGAGCATGTGTGTGAATGTAAGAATGTTCCAGAGGACCTGTGTGTGGAGATTCAAGTGTGAGCATGTGTGTAAATGTAAGAGTGTTCCAGAGTACCTGTGTGTGGAGATTCAAGTGTGAGCATGTGTGTAAATGTAAGAGTGTTCCAGAGTACCTGTGTGTGGAGATTCAAGTGTGAGCATGTGTGGTACACAGACATGCTTAGGGCATGAGCGTGTTTGAATGTGTGAACGTGTGACTGAGAATATATTGCTTGCGTGTGTTGAGTGTGGGAGCATGTGGGCTCACATGTGTGGGGGCAGGCTAGGGATCTGGTGGGAGGCACAGGGCATAAAATGGCCCTGGAGCCAGAGCAGAGGACAAGACATTTAATCCCACAGCTCCCTGGATGGGGAAAGAAGCCGGGTTGCCCAGGATCCAAGGAGACTCCTGGAGAACCCAAGAAAATTCCCGGAAGACTTATAGAGATGAGGGGCTTCTCTTTGGCATAGCTGTTTGACCTGAGACCATCATCCACCCGGTCCAGCGCTGCCCAGCATCCTGAGTGTCCTTCAGGAGCCGCCGTCTCTCAGGTGCCACTCTTGTTAGTTTTGTAGGTCAAACTGTTACTGCTTGGGCGCCTGGTAGCTAAAGCCTCATCCAACTAAAAATACCATCCCAGCACTCCAGTTGGTCCCAGACCAAACCTTTCCACTTCACCTTGAAGCCTTCAGACTGAGGCTGGTGACAAGACCCCCAAACTCCCCATCTCTACCTGCCACCTGGGATAGAACGGAGGAATGAGCAATAGGGATTTTCAAAATGTGTCTTTGAGAGCTGGATTGTTCCCTTGCACAGGAAGGTGCTCAACATGGAGACCAGATGTGCCATCCACAGCAGGCCACTCACGCAGAGTGACCAGCACCACAGAAAGGCAAGTAGCCCCTGCGTTTGTGGATGCCCAGCTTCCTGTCTAATCTGAAGAATCACCAGCTCCTTGGGACAGAAGGAGCAAGGCCTCCGTAAGGACCCTTTCTCTTCCAAACATGGAAATGAAGCCCAGCAGAAACCCTGCCTGGCCTCCCTGGCCAGTCCCCCGTTGTCTCTGCAAAACGCTGCTCTGTGCAAACTTGGCGCGGTACCTGCCTGGAACACATCAAGTTTTCCCCACTGACGAATCTCAGGAGCGGCTCTGGCTCGGTGTGAAGTTTGGCTGGGGTGAGTGACAGCTGCCCGGGCTTAATCCAAGAACAAAGGACAAGTCCTCCAGGGATGATTAGAAGTGGTGGAAACTGAGCCCCTGGAGGAATGTGAGTGACAACAGGGACAGAAAAAGAGCGCTCCCCTGGGGCCTGGACTCGTAGGAAACAATTCCCGGCGGTTCCGGAGGCGGGGGCGGGGCTCCGAGAACAATGAACGTGTTCCCAGTCGGAATCTGCCACCTGATGAGCCCTCCGAGGCCCAAGGGTGGCTGGGCAGCCACCAGCACAGTTTGCCACTTTCCAAAACATATTTCCATTTCAAAGCAGCAGAACCCAAGGGTTACTGATTCTCCCCGGGGGAACCCAAAAATCCCCAAGCCCAGGCACCAGGCTAAGGGGTCCTGACCAGAGAAGTTCAGAGCACCCGTGAGTCAGTGGGGACAAGATGGCCTCAGCAGCCTGAGTCAGCAGCACTGAGAGCCAGTAGGTTCAGCCCAGCAGACTTTCTAGAAAAGGCAGGGAACGGTCGGATAGGAGTCCTGGAAAGAAAACGTTGGTCCGGTCTAGGCACTGACCAGTGACCCAGAGCAAGTCGGTTGCCAGCTGAAGGGGACAGTGTGACAGGAAGGTTACTTCGCCAGCTTCCTGAGCCCTTCGGACCAGGCTTGAGTTTTGGAAAGGCCTTGGAAAATTCCCTCCAGCCAAGCGTATTCTTTTAGTCTATAACCGACTTTCCCAGCTTAGAGCCTGGCAAACTGATTCTAAGACTCACAGGGAAGGAAAAGGCCTAGGAACCATCAGAACAGATTCCAGGGGAAATGAAGGGGTGGATTTGCCACCAGACTGGAAGTGATTAAGATAACGAGAAGATCAAGACAGTAGACAATCCCTGGGGATCTCTAGGGATAAGCAGCTTCCTTCACTAAAAGCCGAGACTCCTCTGAGAAGGCCCTGTCCGTGCAGGCAAGACAGCCAACATGGAGCTTACTGAGTCCTTGTATCAGAACCACGCATGGCTCTTGTTTAAAAGGAAGGTTCTGGCAGAGTGTGGTGTGTGACACACACATCAATGTAGCACTCAGAAGGCTGAGGCAGGAGGACTATAAGTTCCCATACGCCAAGTATGGAACCCAGTTTCCTGAGAGGTGAGCCAATCATCACGACCTATTCATTATATAAGTAGTCATGTACTGAAACCTTACATGGTGCCTCACGAACATGCATAATCAGTGTGCTAGTAAAATTTACATATCTTAGAAGGATAGAATTATAATTTCCAGTCTTGTATGCTGTGGAATACTTTAACTGTGTAAAGGTGTGTTGTGTTTGTTTATGCTGCGTTTGTGCAACGATATAAAGATGTGCTGCCTTGCCTGCCTAGGGCACCTGATTGGTCTGATAAAAGGCTGAAGGGCCAACAGCTGGGCAGTAGAGGGGTAGGCGGGGCTGGCAGACAGAGAGAAGAGGCAGCAGGAGGAATCTAGGCTCAGGAAAGGAAAGAAGGAAAGAACCAGGGAGAGAGGGAGATGCCCGGGCTTGGCAGTCAGGCAGCTGCCAGCCACCCAGCCACAGAATAGGACATAAAATAAAAGAAAGGGAAAAAAAAGGCCTGAGGCAAAAGGTAGATGAAGAGAAACAGGTTAAGTTGTAAGAGCTAGTGGGACAAGCACAAGGTAAGGCCAAGTTTTCACATTCAATACTGACTCTGTTGTGCTTTGGGGGCTGGTGATCTGAGGAAACCCGGATACACTTGCCCACCCTCGGAGTGTGCTGCTCTGGGCTCACTGAACTTGGGCATCTTGAAGATGAGTCTGCAGAGATATGGCTGCATCGAGCCGTGTCTGGCCACATCTGGCACTGGGTGGCTAGCCACTGTTACCATGGACACGGTGACAGCAACAACTGGATGACACGTTTTCATGGTGCCTTTTCTGTCTGAGCAAACCATCCCCAGACTGCCCTCCATGCTAACGGTAGTTCACACGAAGGTCGTTATAACCCGAGCTGGCACTGCCATGGAATGGCCGTGGGACTTAGTTGTGCTTCACTGGAGGCACACAAGTGAGCTTTGTAAAAATAGCAAAGCTCTTTCTTCCCTCACCCCTAGAGATTCGGAATTATTGCTCTGGAACAGGGCCATGATGTTGCTATTTTTTAAAAAGCCTCCCAGACAATTCTCACAGACAGCCCTCCTTGTTCAGGCTGTTTGGTCTCCACATTTAAGAAAAGTAATGAAGCCAGACCCGACGATGCATACTTGTAATCCCAGCATTTGGAAGGCTGAGGCAGGAGGATTGCCACAAGTCTGAGGCCAGCCTGGGCTATGTAACAAGACCCTGCCTTCCAGCAAACAAACAAAAAATAATAATAATAAATTAATGAGGGTTTGAGGGTTGGGTGTCTCTCCACGGTACAGTGTTGGCCTCATCTGAGAGAAGCTTTAGGCTCCACTCCCAGCACTGGGGGTTAGAAAAGGTGTTTGTGGGGGAGGATCTGTAACCTTCTAATCTCCCATTTTCCCTTTGAGCTAGCCCTCCCTGCAGCTGGGGTGGGCAGGACTCTCCACACTATAGGAATCTCCTTGCATATGAACTGACCAGGGCTCCAGGGCTGGAGCGTGGACTCCGTGGGGGAAGCAGGGGGTAACTGAGGACACTGGAAGCTACAAACAGCTTCCCTCTAGGGGGAAGCTGTGGCCAGCGGGCCCATCAGCTCCACCCTCCTTCCATTTGCTAAGGCCCCAGGGAGCCAAAGAGCAGCAGGGTCTGCTGCCAAGAAGCACTGAAAAACCCTCCTCTCGCCCTAGTAGAAAACACGGCGCCTTTCTCATCAAAGAGGACATGGAAAAATTTGTCAGGGACAGCGGCGTCCTGACCAGGACGTAGATCCCCAAGGGCTTCACCTGGCCAAGGACAGTTAGAGGTCCAGCCTGCTCTGGCTGCGGCCATCTGAACTTGGCAGAGCTGAGGCTGAGGCTGAGGAAGCTCCAGAGGGGCTACTAGTAGCAGGCAGGCTCACCTGCCCCCCTTCCCTCTCACATGCGGGGAGGGGGGCTGGGGGGGAGGATAGAGGTACTGCAATGATGGCGCCTCCCCTCTCAACGTGGGAAACTGCAGCGGGGTCTGTGGATACTTAGCATCCAGTCCCACACAGGGCACACAGTGATGCTCCAACCTGGGGATCCATTTATTCTCCACAAAACCTATTCACCAAGTGGCCAAGCCAAAGGACAGAGTATTCGGAAAGAATTTGGAAGGCCATGGTTGGAGGCAGTGGGTCTTGCACAATAAGAAGATGGAATGAAAATGACAGCCCAGATCTCTCGAAGGCTTTCATTCTCTGTCATGGCAAATGTGACAGTCGAGCAGCTGGGAAGCAGCTCTTCAAAGGAAAAACTCCCTGGGCCCACAGGACTGCTGGCTCTCCAGGGGAAGCTGCAGAATGTGGGTCCCGAGCCATCTTTGATGTCCCCGACCTTGGAACAATGGGGATGTGTGAGGGAGGAGCCCACCTGGCCCAGGAAGGCAGCTGTCACCATGGAGGGGCCGCTCACATACACTAACCAGCCTGCCCTCTTCAATTCTAAGAGTTCCTGGTATTTTTCTCCCCGACAACTTAGTAATTTGGGGAGATGAGTCCCCTCTCTTTCACCTTCCCACAGAGAGCAGAAGGAATATCACTTCGTGGCCTGTGTGGGACAGCTCGCATTTGCCCAAATCCTCCTGTTGGCATGGGCGCACACATTTTATTCAGGTGAGGAGCGTTGAAAGAGGTGTCCAGAGAGTGAAATATTGTCATCCTCCCTGGCGGCACCCTGCGTGCTGAAGTAAAGCCCTGGCCGGGGGTAGCCAGCAGCCATCAAAGCCGACGGTAATCCGGGAACAATGCTCCATGACAATGCGTTTATTCTTGTCCCTGACAGGTGACAGGTGCAGCAGAGCTGGCTGGATTCTGAGAAGCCCGCTGGGGCAGGTCAGCTCTGCACTTGGGCAAAGTCAAGGTCACTTGTCCATGATATGTATATATTTGAAAAATGCCAACATCTCTTAGTTAAGCTGCTTGGGAAAACCAAAAAATCATGCCTCCTTTTCCACAGTGGCCAACAGGGACAATATTGTGACAATATTGTGGAGACTCCAGCCAGACCGACAGCATTCTTTCTGTGTGGGCGTCTGTTCTTTTCCCCAAGTCACCCCCTTTCTTTCTTAACAGAACTTTATCCTGATGAGCTGCCTAGGAGGTCATAGTGCCTGTGCTGCCGTGGCTCACCCAGCACAGGAGATAAAACAGAACCTTGGTTTCCTGGAAGACAGGTTTGCGACACTGTCATAAGGTCTTTTTTAGTAACCCACAGGTATGAACCAGAGATGTAGGAAAGAGTGAGGTCACTAGGGAAAAACTTACTTAGGAAAGGACTGCCACCCCAAATTCCAAAGGGATGAGAGTCCCTGGGCCACCATCTGGCAGGATGCTTGCCTTGTGCTGCCCCCTGTTGGCCAGAGTTACAACTGCAAGGAAAGATGGATCCCAGGGCTTGGGACTCTAGTCAGTTTGCAGATCTCTTTGCACTGGAGCCTTGGCACAAACTGGAAAGTGTATAAAGGTGGGAGAGAGTGTCTTTAAAAGGCGAACAGGAATGTCTTTAAAGGCTAACTGATGTGAACGTAGTCCCCTCCGACAGTGAACTGCAGACTCTCTCTCAAGCCTTAGCCAGTACATACCTTCCTAGGAATGTGCCTCCCATGTCTAAACTTCAGATAGCATGTTCGAGTTTAACTTCTAAGTCCGGCACTCTAGGGTAGCTGGAATAAAACAGAGCAGTCACTACTGTAATAACCTCACTGCGCTCTACTCTCCCTTCTCAGAGATGATCCAACAGGAGATGGAGTGAGCACGGCATCCTGACACATCACAGGGCGACCGGGCAGGGCTCACCTGCACACAGCACAGCAATACCTGGATGGCCCTACGACAACTAAGGTGGCTAGCGAGCGGCTGTCGACAGGGCAGAGTGTGGAGCAAATGTGTCAGGAAGGACAGGGTTTCATGACACTACTGAGATTGTCGGCATTTTAAAACTTATGGATTTCTGGAATTTTCTACTTAGTATTTTCAGTTGACTTTGGGAAATTGAAGTCGCTGAAAAGGAAGTCAAGTGTGAGGGCGGTGGAAGCAACGGTGCTCTTGATTTCTGTTCTTTTCCCTAATGTTCATTTATTTGATGTTTGAAGCAGGGTGATGCTATGTGGTCCAAGAGTCTCTCAAACACGATCCTCCTGCCTCAGCCCTTTGAGTGCTGGGATGGCAGGTATGTGCACGCCACCTTGCTGCCTTTGAGCTTTAAATTTTCTTTGAAAAGATTTGCTGGGCAGAAATTGATGTGAATGACACCTGTGCACATGGCAGCACTCAAGGCCAGTGGCGCCCTTGCTCCGTTGTCAGCTTGTTCAGCCCCTGCCAACATCTGGTGAGTAAGTAAGACCCGAGGGTGCCATTGCGGGAAGATAGCGTAACTAACGGACATCTCACAGGGCAAAGCGTTGCTTAGATGAGCCATCCTGTCTAGCAGTCTGGCCTTTTCTCCTCACACACGGAGAGCAGGCCACAGTACCTGGTCAGAGCCCAGTACCACTCGGAGTGCTCAGGTCATCACTGGGCAGGGGTGACCCTGCCTCCTCGCTAACAGAGTAACTGGAGACCACATGCGCCGCACTGGTACATTCTGAGAGCAGAAGGTTCTCAGGCACTGAGGCTCTGCCCCGCACCTATGGGCAGATGCTGAGGTCACCGTCACCCCTTACTCCCTTGCTAAAGTTACACCTTCAGACATCTGGTGACCTGTGTGTCTTGTTTTTGTTTTGTTTTTTGTTTTTCTTAGATAGGATTTCTCTGTGTAGCCCTGACTGTCCTGGAACTTGATCTGAAGACCAGGTTGGCCTTGAACTCAGAGATCCACCTGCCTCTGCTTCCAGAGTGCTAGGACTGAAGGCGTGCGCCACCACTGCCTGGCTCTGTGAGTCCTCCCCAGCCTTGGCTCTCAGGTCTGTTCCACCAGGATGTTTGAAGAGGTGGCAAGGCCACTGCAGTGTCTGGTGTGGGGCAGCCAGGGTGCCCAGGACAGGGTGGGCTATTGAGACACGGCTCACATCACAAGTGCTGGCTACAGGAAGTGGGACTTCATCCTGTGGAGAGCTCTGGAAGGCAGCACTTTGAACCTGAAGTTACCTTGAAAAGAGGGAAAATCGGGGACAGATGGCCTCACCTCAGGGGGTTTCCAGAAGAGTGCACAGACCCAGAACATTAGAAAGGACTTAAAGGGTCCCCAGCATCCACCCACGGGCCTGCGGCAAATCTGCTTGTTGTTGGTCACCAAGAGCCAACAAAATTGTTTGTTGTGAAATAAATTTAGGTGTAGACTCTTAAAGTCTTGGGGCTGGGGGAAAGTTATATTAAAAAAAAAACCAAATAAAGCCTAAAAATAAACGATTTTGCATTACTCATATCCTAGAGAAAATAAAACTTTAAGCCTACTACTAGAATAAACAAGCTAAAATTGCTTAGAGCACTGGCAGGTGCTTATCTTTGGAGTGTCATCATACAAGCTGGTGTGTCTTTAAACTTTAATACACTCCAGCGTCCCAGCAATAGAGCTCTGAATATATTAATCTGCTGTTTAAAAATCTCCCTGAGCAATCAGGTTCATTTGTTTTTGGCATTTTTGTTTTTTAAGCAAAGGAGAAACAAACACATAATTGCTACAAGGTGAAAGAGAAAATATTTTTATGCTCTGGGAGATGAATGATGCTTTCCTAATAACGCTGGGCCCTGCCGGATGGATGAAGTCAGTGGTGTCCGGTATCCCAGGTCTACTGTTTTGGGTTTGTTACCAGGCAACAGTCTCTTAATGTCCAAGCTGTGACGTCTTCAGAGCTCAGCCCAGCCATGGAGTGACAGAGCTCTGAAAAGCCCACCTCCACGTCCACAGCACCCCTTCCATGAGCCCCCAGCCTTGACCAGCAAACGAGCCCCTCACACCAAGGCTCCGTGTGTCTCGGAAGTCGAAGCTGCATTTCTGCAATGTCTGCCTTTTCCTCAGCGTTGGAAGCTAACCCTTCTCCCCATTTTAACAAAGAAAACGTCTCCAGTAGGCACACTAGCACAGGTCTGTCAGCCCAGATACTCGGAAAGCTGAGGCAGGGGGATCATGTGAGCTCAGGAGTTTGAGACCAGCCTGAACAAAATAATGAGAACCATATCTTTTTTTTTTTTTTTTTTCAAATGCAGCTGGGTGTGGCCATGTTAAGGTTTGGTTCCAGCACTCTGAGTTCCAGGCTAGCTGGAGCGTCATCCTGAGAGCCTGACTCAAAGAAGGAATGAAAGAAAAGTGTCATTATGAATGTATGCTGTCGGCTTCTCTTCTGGCACTAAAGTGACTGCATGCTAGTTGCACCTTTTCCCCTGAGGAATGCCGACCGACCTGCTTCTGTGATCTAAACGCTGCCTCCCTCTTCAGAGCTCTGTTTTATGCAACCCACAGTTTATTGGTGGACACAGCGATACTTCCCAACCCTGGTTGCTGGGCAACGACTGATATCCTATTCAGCAGTCATTTGGTACGTGGACACACGGGTCTGCAGGAGAGAAGTCCGATCACGGGTCAGGTGGATCTAAAGTGTGATATGGAGCCAGGCACAGGTGTGCAACCACTGACGAGGTGGAGCAGGAGATCAGCTGAGCCCAGCGCTTGAAGCCAGCCTGGGTAACAACATGTTTCCCTCTCAAGACATACTTTTGGATAATTACAATCCCCATTTCTTCCTTCCCAAATCATCCCAATTCACACGCCTCCACTGCACCCGGGCTTCCTTCTTCCTCCACCTTCATCAAAGCAGCCTGATGATGGCTGCAAAAAAACCAAGTTTCTCACTTTGGTTTCGACATGTGCTTTGTTCCCTAGATTGCAATATTCAGCTCTTCACTTGGGGAGAGCCAGGTCACATGCTTTCCCTTCCACTGAGTGCCTGACCTTGGCCCATCTTCCCTTGAGGTCACTGGCTTTATCAGTTTCTGGTTCTGGCTCTTTGGGAGAGAAGCCCTTTGTGACTCGGTAGCAAACATTTCTCCCCTGGCTTGCCCTGTACTCTAGTCTGTTTTGCCAAGACGACACAGCATGTAATTATATAACTGATTTTCTTAATCTTATCTTTTATGATGTCTGGGGCTGTGAGCTGCTAAACAAGCCTCCTCCACACCAAGATTATAAATAAAATCGCTCGTGTTTTTCTTCCTCTTTGTGGCCTTATTTTTTTTACACTTAAATCTTTGAATCATCTGGAATTTGTTGTCACAGATGAGTGAGATCCAACCATATTCTCTTCCAGCTGGAGACCCAGATGTCCTGAAACCAGGATCGCCATTCCCTAAACACAGAAGCCTGCTGATAGTCAGTGCCTGTTTTAACCCTGGATTCCACCTACAGCAGTCTCTCCTGTGCGGTGGTTTTTCTAACTCCGCACTTCCTTATTTCTCCCTTAGCACTCTGCTTTGCCTATAAGAACGTGGTCATTTTAGTCCTCCATCACCATTGGGAACAGCTCTGGGAATCCAGGAGAAAAGCAAGCTCCCAGACACTCAGGTCCCATATATACAATGGTGTTGAATTTGCACAGCACCTACGCATACCCTCCCGTAGGCTTCAGCCATCGCTACACACTTAACACAGCCACGCTCTGTACACTGCCGCACCGTGTTGCTTAGGGAGTAACGATGAGAAAGATTGCATATTCGGCACAGAGGCTAGTTCTCTCAGATATTCCTGATCTGTGACTTGTTGGCTCTGTGGATGCAGAATCTGCAGATCTGAGGAAGGTTGAGTGTGCTGCCTCTGTAGCTGGTGCCACGCCGGCACCTGAGCTGGTGGAAAGTGGGGGGAGCGTGTCCATTCAGAACACCAGCGTTCTCAGAAGTCCCTTCCTCGGCCCTCTCACAGATGAGGCTCTGTACTTTCTGGGTTGCACTTTTTCTATCCTCCTCCTCAACTCAGGAGGTGAGGGACAATGTGGGGAGCACACAGAGAGGCAAGGCAACAGGGCCAGCTTCAACTGTCAGCACCTGCAGCAAGGGCCCGGCATGGTCCCCTAAAGCCTAGCTTCCTTCCAATCAGGGTAAGCGACCTGAAGGATGGGGATGACCACAAGGTCAGCTCACCAATGCTGCTAAATACGGTGGGAGAGGATGAACAAGGGGCCTGAAGCCATCTGTCCACCCCCACCTATCGTGCAGATCTTTCTCATCTACAGCGCAGTGTGAGGGCTCCCTCCTCTGCCTTCTGACATGAGTTCAAGGAAGTTACCATCGTTTGCGCAGGCCCGTGTGGCCACACTTCTTACACAGCCCACGCTTCCCTTTGGCATGCTCTTCTTTTGACACAACCCCTGGGTTAGGCCATCCTCAGAATCTGGCCTATCTCCACGCATCTTGAATGTCACTTTCATTCCCAAAAAGATCTCTCTCTCTCTCTCTCTCTCTCTCTCTCTCTCTCTCTCTCTCTCTCTCTCTCTCTCTCTCTCNCTCTCTCTCTCTCTCTCTCTCTCTCTCTCTCTCTCTCTCTCTTTCTCCCTTCCTCCCTTTCTCCCTCCCTCCATTTCAAGCTACCACACATCAGAAGCTTCTCTCTTCACCCCATGTTCAGTTCCCCAGACATCCTCTCAGAGGGTGTGCCTCCTAGGTCTCAGTTCCCAGTCACCTCCAAATCACACTCCCACAGGCCTCCTTTGTGCAAAGCCCCTTACAGAATTAATAAAGGGTTGCTCACGATGTATCAGGTAAAGAATAGGCGGTCGATTGGTATTTATTGCATAACAAATGCAGGAAGAGCTGGCAAGAGGACACAGTGTTTCCTTGAAGAACGTGACAGACCTCTGTAGAGACCAATCGCTCCCAATTTAGTTATCCCATCTGCCTCTCCGGGCTCCTCCCAGAGCTCACGGACCAGTGGACACCAGCCCCACCCTGAAAGTTCCACCCTGCCCCACCCATCAGCTCCACCACGCCCACCTGCTCCTCAGACCCCGCCCCTAGCCTCCAGTTGGCTCCGCCCCATCCCGCTAGCTCCACCCGATCCCCATCAGGACGCGGCCCTCGATCCCCGCCCGCCTTTCCCTCAGGCTCCACCCGGCCCGCCCGCCCCGCCCCCTAGGCCCCGCCCCAGCGACTCCACCCTGCCCCACCCACCTGTCCTGCAGGCCCCGCCCCGCCCCTCAGGCCCGCTCACCTGTACGCCCAGGGCGAGACGCTGCGCAGGTTGGTGGGCGGCCGGAAGCGGCGGTCGGCGGGCCTGCCCCCGGCAGGGCAGCTGGCGTTGCGCGCCTGCTCGCGCGGCCCGAGCTGCAGCGTGTGGTGGAAGGCGCTGAGCACGCCGACCGCCAGCCGTCCGTACAGCTGCTCCAGGAGCTCCTCCGGCCGGTCCGCGCAGTCCCGCGGCCGCGCCGGGCGCCTCCCGGTCCTCAGCGCGCCCGCCGCGCGGCCCGGCGCCAGGGCCAGCAGGAAGCCGACCGCGAGCATCCAGACCTGCGGCGGGACAGGCCGCGCTCAGCGTCGCGGGAGCCGCCCGCCGCTCCGCACACCGTGAGGCCCTACCCGAGCATGGGCGCCGCGCGGGCCGGCCCCCGAGCGCCGTCCCCGCCCGCCCGCCGCCCTCGCGGCCCCCGGGGCCCGGCCCGCCGCCGGCCCGCGCGCCCCCGACCCCCGCCGCCGCCGCCACCCAGAGCCGGAGCCCGCGCGGGGGGCGGCTGGGGGGCGCGCGTGCACGTGTGCGTGTGCCTGCCGGGCTGCTGCGCGGCGGGCTGCGAGTGCCCGTGAGACGCCGCTCCCGGCCGTCGCCCCCCGACCCTCAGCCCCAGCCCGGCCGGCCTCGGCCATGCCGTCGCCGGTCCCCCCGAGGGCGCTCACCAGTGTCCCCAGCATCGCGTCGCCGAAATGCTTTCCAGACTTGTTAGGAGGGGGGCTGATGGCTCTTGAGCGAAGTAAATAAAGGCGCCGCACACGCGGGGCGTGTGGCCTGCGGGTTGGGTGTCGCCCCCACCGAAGTGGACTGGCGCGGTCCGCCTGGCTGGAGGAGGAGGTGGTGACTGGCCTCGACGTCTCGGCACGGACCAGTGGGGCGGCGGGGATGCAGTCGGGAGGCCGACTTTGGCTCAGAGGAAACGGATTTCTCTAGGCATTAAAAGCGGTCCAGGAGCTGGACAGGCCACTTGGAAATGAATGAACTCAAACCTAGGACTCTCCTCCTTGGGACCTCGACTTCTGCGATTTCATAGTTCGAAGAATTATATTAGAGATTAAAAAATAAAGCTAATGTTCTGTGAGGCGAGAGGAAACTGTTTCCCCCTTAATACTCATAAAATGACTCCGTGCCTCTTATTCAGCTAAAGGCAGAGTAATAAATACCCTCCCCCACCTGACACACGGCTGTAAGTGGGCATCTCTTGGTCTAGTTTTACAGTGTAGGAGAACTCAACCATGATATTGTGTGAGCAGACGTGTAAAATGAGCCTAAAGTTCTGTGAATTAACTAAGGGAAATCAGCCCAAATGAAGGACCATATTGTATCTCATGATCTCAAGAGAGCTTGCTCACCTCCTTGTCCATTCTACAAAGCTAATGAATACGGTTACTTTCGAGCACTGACGCTTTGAAAATAAAAACAAATGGTTGAATCCAGCCGAAAGCTTTTTGAAAGTTTGCAAAATAATTTTTGATTCCCTAAAATGGCTTGCAGCTTTGGGTTTGAACCAAATTGTAAACCAGTAAACTGCATTTCAGTTATGCTGTGCAATAAAACACTTGCCTTCGATGCTTTAAAACTAAAATGCTTTGTAACTGCTTCGCCGCTAACGTCCTTCGAACATGACTGCTTAAACAATGTACAGTTCTTAGGAAACACATCTGGGTTTATGGAACATTTTCCGACTAGCACATAAATCTGTTAGCATTATCTCATTTCTAGGAACATGGGAATAAAGGCGGCGGCACTCATACTGCTTATTTACTGTTTGAAAAACAGTGTAGGAGTATTTCCTGGGTGAGCTTGTCATTACCAGAGCTCCATGCACGACTCACCAGTCCTATTACAGCATCTTTTCATATCCATAGTGGCACAGGGCCAGCCGTCAAAGGCCCTTCCAGGGTCTGATCGCTGGACAACTAATCCCCTCTCCCAGCTTCCCTTTAACGGTTTTCAGTTTGTGGAAGGTCTTCGTTCCCGAAAACACACCGATCGGATCATCA